TTTTTTTTAGGTTTAAGGTGGGGGTTGCCCAACCTTGGCCACTTTGGGGGGCCTTAACCCCCAAGAATCCCCCGGCAAGCATGCACATGGCTGGCTGGGGAATCCTGGGAGTTGGTGCACTCATCTTAAAGCAGCCAAGTTTGGACAACACTGCTTTAAGTCATTTCTAGAGGAAATCAGGAAAAAAGGAAATGGCAAATATGCTGTAGCTAAGCTAATCAAACGTGTCTTTATACTTCCAGGGCTTTAGAAGCTAATATAAGAGGGACATTTTAGGGACAACGGTCATCTCTAGTTTTTGTTCTTCTAAATATAAATGCCTGGATAAATAGCAAATATCCACGTCCTCCTGTGCCGATGGCAGTTTACACAGGTTTTGGCTCTAAGCTTGACAACATTTTGGATGGCTGGTTGGGAGAGAAGTGCAAGGTTGCAGCAAAACTGATAATACTGAGCCAGTTCTGCCCTGTGGAAGGGTTGCCTGGACTCTTTCTTACGAGTGGCAGGGAGTAGGTACAGATAGTCCCCTACTTACGAACGGGTTACGTTCCAAGAGGCTGTTTGTAAGCCCGTTTTGTTCGTAAGTCCAACAAGCAAGGAAAAAAAGAGGTGGAGGCAGGGCCAGTGGGGCACAGTGCGCTCCATTGCCGGGCAATGCAGGAGACGACTGCCCCCTCGCCCCTGGCCTCTGCCACCGCCCCTCTCTTGCCTCACCCAGCAATGGAGCACACTGCCTAAACTAATCTTTTCTGGGAACTCCAACTTCAATGCAAACCTCAAATGCAAACAGAATGCTAAAGAAGGTGGGAAAGGGTTAGTTCTAACACCGCCCTCTCCCGACTTCTGGTTACAACTTCCAGCCTGGCTTCTGGTCCATCCTGTTTGTATTGGTGAAAGTTCACAACATGAAAGTTTGCAAGTAGGGGACTGTCTGTAATAGCACTCTGGCTGGGTTGTTCTGGTTTCCTGGCAGATCCACAGGGAAGAGTCAAAGGCCTTGCAGAGAGCCTTGAAGGAGAGGGCAAATAGCATTCCCAGCCCTCGCTCTTCCTTCTCCTGGGGCAAAGCCACAGAAGTGTCATTTCTGACAAGATCTATATGAAGGCATTGGAGTGGAACATTAGAACATTAGACCGAGAGGACTCAAATTTATTAATAGACCAGGCAAATAAATTCTACTCTTCTAAGTAACAGGGTGATCTTGAGTGAGTGTCACCAGCTCTCAGCCTACAGTGCTTCACACAGCTCTTGTGAGGAGAAAAAGGAAATTGCATTAACTCTTGAGTAGAAGGACAGGTAAGCACATAACGAAACTAACAAATGCACTGTGTAATAACAAGCGTGCTGGGTTAAAAAGTGCACATTTGCTAGAGAGAAAGGATTATCTCCCTAAAACTTGGGAACTCAACTTAGGAAATCAGACTGAATATTTAGTCTGAACTTTCCCCCGCTATAAATTTTAGTTTGCGACAGCTGTACATATTTAGCAAGCATAAAAGAAATGTTCACTTCTAATACAAAAATCCCAGCCCATGGCATTAATCACTATCACTAATCACTCTGAACTACAGTATTTCAGAGATGGAGGTTGTGATTCCATCCCCCTCCCCGCCCCTTTTCACTGATAAAATATAGTCTAAACCAATGTTCCTCAACCTTGGCAGCTTGAAGATGTGTGGACTTCAACTCCCAGAATTCCCCA